GAAGAGCGGGAAAGGACTTCTTTCGCCTTCAGAAAAAAACCCGCGCCCCCCGCCCCAAAAAAGGGGGTTAGAAAGGAAAACAATATTTCTATCAGGACAATAAACCGTAAACGTTGTTACCATCGGAACATAAAAGTAAACGCAGCGTAGTGAGAAGCATTTACGGTATACTTACCTCTGAATACCTTCCCTAACCGAGAAGGCAGAGCTCCGTAAAGTCACCTTTACCAACTCCACAGGTTTGCATGAACAGTTTTAAGACACACAGCCGAAGAGAGAAAATACATAAAAATCTTATAGAGCTGGATATCTTCTCCTTCAGAAAAGGAAAGCCCAAAACTACGGTTTTTTCCTTAACAGCTAAAAAGAAAGCCCTCTGAAAAAAAAAAAAAATGCGTGGAAAGGAATTTTCACCCTGAACGGATTTGTCGTAGCACAATCACCTCAGTGACAATTTGGCAAACCACAGTTTTGCTACGCTCAGGGACCATTGCAACCCGTTATGAAGCGTCCCTTACACGTTTTGTTTGGTACTTACGTCATAAGATACGGGCTCTTGGTCACTGTAAAGCTACCTGAAAAGCAGAGGGAAGCATCGCTTCCTACGCAGGACTCGGATTTTACAGCTCTCTTTAACGGCCATGTGGTGGCTCTTAAAAGAGCCTTTGGGTTTTCGATAGCCTGAAAGATCCGTCTGCTAGAGGCTTAAGCGCGCTCGCCGCGGATGCGGCGGGCCAGCTGGATGTCCTTGGGCATGATGGTGACGCGCTTGGCGTGGATGGCGCAGAGGTTGGTGTCCTCGAAGAGCCCCACCAGGTAGGCCTCGCTCGCCTCCTGCAGCGCCATCACGGCCGAGCTCTGGAAGCGCAGGTCCGTCTTGAAGTCCTGCGCGATCTCCCGCCCCCCGTGCCGGGCCGGTACCGGTGCGGCTTCTTCACGCCGCCCGTGGCCGGCGCGCTCTTGCGGGCCGCCTTGGTGGCCAGCTGCTTGCGGGGCGCCTTCCCGCCCGTCGACTTACGCGCCGTCTGCTTCGTCCGCGCCATCTTTCCCGAAGCCGATCCCCAGCACCGAGTGAGGAGAGTCTGCAGGAAAGGCCGCCGCGGGCCCGCTGTTTATAGCCGCCCCCGCCCTGTGATTGGCTGGCGGGAAGGAGCAGCTTCCATTGGACAACGGGGAGGATTTGAAAAGCCCGCCGTCCGCCGCGGGGGAAGGGCGGGTAACGGCTGCTTCCCGCTCCACAGCCCCCCTCCTCCTTCCTCCGCTGGAGGCGGCCGCGCTGTCCCTTCTCTTATCCCTCGGCTCTGCCCCGCCGAGCGGGGCCGGCAGCAGCAACGCGCCTTGCCACAGCGGTGGCCCGCTGCCCCCGGCGGTGCCCCGCCAGCGGACACGGAGTTTTTAGTCTGACCCCGCGGCAGCCGCTGTTATCGCCGCCTCTGTTCCGGGCAGCCAAGATTTCAGCCCCCTTGCAAAAAGCTTTTTCGAAAAAACAGCCGTGCCCGCACGTCTTGCGCCGCCTCAAGTTTGAGAAAGCCCTCTCATTCAATTTTTTTTTTTTTTTAAGGCATCCCTTATTCTTGTATTCACATATTACGTTATCACGTAAAGAGTTATGAGGAACCTCTGTCTTGCTGCACTTATTCTCCATTAAAGAGACGACAAAAAAAACCTACGCCACTTCCATATCAAATCTCGGAGACTAATAAAATTATTTTTGTCTATACCATTTCACTTCCGCTCTGCAGAGCCTGATAAATTTCGTGAAACATTACCTTCCATATATCGCACGTACACAGACTAATCCCTGTGGAGCCCTCCGAGTAAACAAGCTGCTCTGGCTTGCAGCCAAGTTGTTCGAGAATGACAGGTAATGTGTAAAGGGAACGACAACATTTTCGTAGACAAGGTATAAACTGTGTTGGAGCAAAGCTGCTATTGTAAAAAAAAAAAAAAAACAAAAAAACAAAAAAAACCCAACAACAACCAAACTGCTTTATTTCATATCTGAACGGCAGAGAAAAAAAACCAAAACACCCTAAACACTACCATGCATATTTCTCTTACCTTCCTAAAAAAAATGAAGTTTATTACTCTAAAATGAGGAAGGAAAACTTTAATAGCTTTAGAACTTGATTAAGTACTTAACGTTGTTTTTGTAGACCTCCCGATGTGTAAGGCACACACAAGATGACTCAAATCATTCCCGGCACTTTAACATGACAAATATTTTCCCTGCCATTAAACAGCACGTCCTGGTCTGGGAATTAAAGCAGTGCTAAAGACAAGTACCACTCACCGAAACGAATCAGTGTGATCGACTCTTTTACTGAAAAGGTGGGTGGCTCTTAAAAGAGCCTTTGGGTTAAAACTGGCGATCCGAGACGCTCTACTTGGAGCTGGTGTACTTGGTGACAGCCTTGGTGCCCGGAGGCGGCGCGTGCTTGGCCAGCTCGCCGGGCAGCAGGAGCCGCACGGCCGTCTGGATCTCCCGCGAGGTGATGGTGGAGCGCTTGTTTTGTTGCGCCAGGCGCGAGGCCTCGCCGGCGATGCGCTCGAAGATGTCGTTGACGAAGGAGTTCATGATGCCCATGGCCTTGGACGAGATGCCCGTGTCGGGGTGCACCTGCTTCAGCACCTTGTACACGTAGATCGAGTAGCTCTCCTTCCTAGTCTTCCTACGTTTCTTGTCGCCCTTCTTCTGCGTCTTGGTAACGGCTTTCTTGGAGCCCTTCTTCGGAGCAGGAGCGGATTTAGCTGGTTCCGGCATTTTACAAGTCTGTCACTACCTGTCTACCGCAGGAACGACGTAAGTACAATAGCGGCGACGCCCGTATTTATAGGGACGGTATGCAAATGAGATGACTCAAGGCTCTTCTTGTCTATTGGACAATCCGGCTTCGTGATGTCAAACCCTCCAGCACCTCCGACTGGTCGCTGTTTCATCTGCCTCCTCATTGGTTAACTCCGCAATCGCAGCCTCCGCCAATCACGAGTCCCACCGAGCCCCAGAAAGAAGGGATAAAAAGGCAGGGTGGCAGCTCTCGCCGCATTTCATCTGTTTTCGCAGCTTTTTCTATCTTTTACGTAGGCTTTTATTTCTTTTTACTTTTTTTTTTTTTCCCCTTTTGTTTTGAACTCTAATCCGAGGCATGTGGGGCCGCGGGAAGCAGGGCGGGAAGGCGCGGGCCAAGGCCAACTCGCGCTCGTCGCGGGCCGGGCTGCAGTTCCCCGTGGGCCGCGTGCATCCGCTGCGCGGCAGGGAGCGGGTGGGCGCCGGCGCCCCGGTGTACCTGGCGGCCGTGCTGGAGTACCTGACGGCCGAGATCCTGGAGCTGGCGGGCAACGCGGCCCGCGACAACAAGAAGACGCGCATCATCCCCCGCCACCTGCACCTGCCCATCCGCAACGACGAGGAGCTCAACAAGCTGCTGGGCAAGGTGACGATCGCGCAGGGCGGGGTGCTGCCCAACATCCAGGCCGTGCTGCTGCCCAAGAAGACCGACAGCCACAAGGCTAAAGCCAAGTAACTTATCTCTTTTTAACAAACAACCCAAAGGCTCTTTTCAGAGCCACCCACATCTTCCTAGAAAGAGCAGGAACACCTATCCGAGTCTCCAAATACTCGCTTTTCGGGAAACTGTGTTTTGATATATCTGGGAAATTTTTAGATTTAAAGGGAAGGTTTCTTCAACACAAATAAGTTCTATATATATCTCTTGGATTTTGCTTTAGCTGATCGGTGTCTGTAGGGCCCTACACGTTTCCTTCTCTAAGAAGTAAATGTACTTATGTAAACGTCTCTCAGTTCCACTTTTCTGAAAAATCAATAAAAGGCAACATTTAGGATTGAGATCAGTCACCGTGGCGTGGTGCAAGGAGAGCAGACGAGAACGCGGGAAGGGTGGCTCGGTGCCTCCCGCTCCCTGCTTTCGGCGGGGGGAAGCACCGTTAATGCCGGCGGAGGTGGGGAGGGGGCGGGGCTTCCCTGCCCACCCGCGGCGAGGGGCGGGACCGCCGACGGCCA